TGTGCAATATTATTGATGTAAAAATACTCTGAATTTCGAATAATCGCTTACAAAATTACGATGTTTACTTAAGGCCTTAAATAAAGTATTTTTGCGTACTTTATGTGTCTTGTTAAATATAACGTACGCACAGTCGAAATAGAGTACAGTACTTTATAATAAAGTACGGGTGGCAACTCTAGTCATCTGAAACAGTAAGTACCTTAATGTGTTTTGTTTTTGAATTAGGTATATAGGCCAAAGTGAGAGAGCAATAAATACACGTTTAAAATAACATGCAGCTACTATTGAAAAGAGTGACAATAATTAGGGTTTTTGATCACAACATTGACATTATAAAAACTAGCGCCCTATATTATAATGTTAGATGAAAAAAATACTTGCTTACCTGTACAATAAAATATCGCGTCGAAACAACAACAAGTCCCGTCTATAAATTCTACTTCCTTTTCACGAATACATCGAACATCAGGTTTGAGTTCCACATTTGAGGGATACTTGGTGGTAATGGGTTCTTTGGAATGATGACTAAGTACCACCTGAAAGGTACAACACCGTTTGTGATTTTGTCATATTTGAAATGTTTCTTGCAAGAATATTTCATAATAATTTCATGTTTTTCTTTCGTTGGTTTTGACGGGGAACTACTTTTTAAAACATGCCATACATTAAAAAGTTGTATCTTCTAAATTAATGATCGTAGTATGGCAGACTAATGGACAAAGCTGATAAAAATAAATTAATTTTAACGCTTCACATTTTTAAATGCGGTAACATTAAAACAAGAAATTAGACGATGGTCTATACGATTTTGTATTAATGAATGTCGTGTCCTCGGGAAACTACATATAAGGTAGTTTTTGTACAGAATAAAATTCCTTGGTTCAGGAGAGTATATAAAATATATAAATATGCCAGTTTAAATAATATGGCCCTTTTCATTTGCGCTTGAATTTACTAATCTATACGTACAGATAAAAGATAAATTAAAAGAACTATTTTTATAAACTAAAATTCTGGTCCGTATCTTCTATATTTGTTGTAGATTTTATAAAAGAAAAATAACAAACTTCTAAGTGAAAGTGGATTTGATTGTTCAATTTCAAAATTAATTCAACATGGAGAAAAAAAAATTACAATTTTCGAATGTGAATGACTGAATTTGCCGTAGAAATAATAGAATTTATTAGGTAACTTGTAATAATCTCAATTTTGACATGTTTTTTTAAAAATTATTTCAAGTTTCTTAATTATTACAATTTAATTTGTAACATCAGTTGCCTAGTAAATTTATTTCTGCTGGGATTTCATTTTTAAAAATTCGG